TTGCTCAGATTACCCAGGTGATCTGCCCGGGGTCCACACGGCACGCGTCACTCCTTATTCACACTGATTGGTTGACATTATTTCTTAGAAAAAAGTTTTTTCTGCCTCAGAAACAGGCAACTTGCTTGGTACCTGCGAGGCTCCCTCCCGTGTTGCTTAGTGCTTATTAAAACTGTGGCTTCTTCCACTAGATTGTAAGTCCTTGCAGGTGGATGCTTCGTGTCCATCTGTCTTGGTATTCTTTAGGATTTCAGTCTGGAATGTCCCCCAAAGGCTCATGTGCTGAAGGCTGGTCCCCAGCCGATGGTGCTATTGAAGGTGGTGGACTTTAGGAGGTGAGGCCGGCTGTAAGAGGTGGGTCACTGGGGCGTGCCTTTGAGGGTTACATCTTGACCCCTGTCCCTGATTCTCTGTTTCTCTCTGCTTCTGGCCACCATGAGCTGATTAGCTTTGCCCTTCCACTCCCTTCCACCATGATGCTGTGCCTCACCACAGGCACAGAGCAAGGAGCCAGCCAGCCATGGACCAAACCCTCTGAAACCAGGAGCCCAAATAAACCTATTCTCCTTTAACTCATTTTTCTCAAGTGTTTTGTCACAGCAATGGAGAGCTGACTGAGAGTATTCTCACACTTTTCACAGCAGATGCCTGCATCTGTTAGCAATTGCTATGTAACACAGCACCCCAAACTCAGTAGCTTAAGACACCAGGCTCTTACTATTAAGTGGACCCGCTGGGGGCTGGCTGCTGCTTGTCTTGAACTTGTCTCAGCTGGGCTCAGTCATGCTTCTAGGGTCATCTAGGGCCACTGTTTCCATCTGGGCTTGGATGCAGGGATTAGGAGGGGCAGCTCTACTCCTCAGAGCTCACAGGGAGCTACTCTGTGCGTCTCCTCAGCAAGTTGTCAGAAAAGGAAAAGGGTAAACAGAAACAGGGAGGCCCCTGAGACCGGGCTCTGAAACGGCCGTACCTGTCACTGCCACCTACGTCTTGGGCAAGGTGAGTCTCACGCTCACCCACACTGAAGGTCCCAGTGAAGGAGGGAAACAGGCTCTGCAGACTTCAGGGGAGAGGCTCCCGACTCAGTCACGCGGCAGGAGATGAGCTCTTTGACCTGACCTCCCACACCAGCAGCCCGCCCTCCGCCAGGTCGGGCTCAGCTCACCCAGTGACAAGGGACTCGAGGGTCCTTCAAGTGGTGCTGACCCAGCCTTGGGCACCTGCTGCTTCCTGGTGCCAGTCCAGTCAACATTGGCATCCGGCCCAGGGGTGCTCCGGCCTTGACTTGGGTGGGGAGCCCTGCAGTAGCCGGGAGGAGCCTCCTGTCCTGGGCCCATCCTCAGGTGGGGCCTGCAGAGTCCCGAGAAATACCACTGCAACAGCCGGCCCTGCTCTGCGGTTCCCGTCATGCGGAGGGCTGAGAACAAGGGTCCTGTCCACCAGCGAAGCTCCCTCTCAGCCCCACGAGGTCTTCCTGTTCGCCCTCCGCGGATGGAACTGTCAGGTTCGGGGTCCTGAACTCAGATGTTGAGTCAAGCCCACAGGCTGTCTTGTCCTGTGAGGCAGGAGCTGGACAGCAACAGAACAGGGGGAAAGCTTGGATTTGAAAACGGCTTTCATACACTTAATTTCACTTTATTCTTTTAAAAGCCTCACCTGAAAAAGGGAAGTTTAAACTGAGAAGATCAAAAAGTAGCAAAGAATGTGTCACTTTCTTAAAATCAACTCACAAGCAAGGAGTGGAGCCCGGGCTAAACCAGGCCCCGACTTCTAGTTCAGGATTCCTATGCCTGGGCCGGACCCTCTTCCAAGAGTTTCCGGGTGTGGCAGGGAGGTGGTAGCAGGACGAGCCACGTGACTGTGATGGTGATACATGGTTGTGGTCCCTCTTCCTTTCACCCCATACGACTGACCTGACTACCTGGCCAGGTTGTAAGAGGCAGGTCACCTTGGAAATACCCTGCAGTGGTTCTCAAAGGGTGACCACCAGGGCATCAACGTTACCCCGGCTGCACCCTGCACCTGGCTGCACCCCGCACCTCCTACATCAGCAACTTAGGATGGGCCCTGCATTCTGTGTTTTCACAAATCCTGCAGGGAGTTCTGATGCATGTTCAAATCTGTCAACTACTGGTCTAGAAATTTCTAAGCCATCACGGGCCTCTTGGTGATTGCTTTGGGACTCATCGGGTATTGGAGTGAGGTTGTCCTTAACTACACAAGGACACCATTCCCCTCTCTACCAGTACCATAGCCAGAGTCAGGAGAGAAGGCAGAGAGTGAATTTGTTAAAACAAATTGGAAGGGTTTGATGGCTGTTGTTACTATTTTAATTTGGCGGACAGAGGTTGGAAACTGTGGAGGGATATGGACAGACTGGGTGACTTGTCCCTCTGTGCGGTGGGTCAGGACGATCAAGGTGGAAGCCCTTGGAGTCTACAGCAGGCCCAGTGTCGCTCAGCTCTCTCTAGTTCTTTCCCAGGTCTCGCTTCTCCCAGGGCCCCTACCTGCATTATTTCTGGCACCCAGTGTGTCCAGCTCCAAAATGAAGTAGGTTAGTGCAGGTGATGCTTGGCGCTGAGGGACCCTGCCTTCTCCGTGTGGGCCGCGCTGGGGAAGGGAGGAGCTCTCCATTGTGCTCAAGGTGGGGGGAACAGGGTGGAAGGTCGGTCAGCAGAGGCAGCGCCCTTCCCTCTGTCCTGGAGAACCACAGGTCACTGCTTTGGGGAGTCAGCACACAAGCTGGGTGGGAGCGCCATCCCTGCCACCCTGAAGGCAGCAGCGCCACTTCTCTGCTCTGGGTCCAGGGTTCTTCTTCATGTCCCAGCAGCGCCCTCAGAAGGCTCAGCGCCATCATGGACGACCCACGGTCCCAGCAGATGTGTGCTGAAGGAGCAAGAGGCTCCAGGGAAGCTTCCCAGGGTCCATCCCTGGTGGGAGGACAGCCTGGGATCCTTGGGGCAGGGGGCCTGATGAGGACACCCCTTACCTCATTCATAGCAGGCGAGGCCAATGGGCACTATCCAGCCTCCTCCAGGGACCGCAGCCACAGTCAGAGGAAGCAGCAGAAGCCGATCTCCAACATGAGGAGACGGGGATGCTTCGTGTCCATCTGTCTTGGTATTCTTTAGGATTCTGAAGGAGGATAAAAGAGACCTAAGGGACGCAGGTTCCCAGGAACCCCAGAGCCATCGGGTGCCGGGGGTTGCTTTTTCACTGAATCAGACTTCCTCCTGAGCTGGCTCATGGGGAGTCCATGCAGCTGTAGGAGACAGGGCAAAGAGATCCGGGGGCTTTTGGCTTGGCTTCCTCAACGGGAGCATTTTGCAGCACCACAGCTCAGTGTCACCATCACAACAAGACGCTGATTCCATCTCCTGGGATCTCCCGGGCCCTCACCTGCCTCACCCTGGCCCTGGCCCTGACCCTGGCCCTGGCCCTGGCCCTGGCCCTGGCCCTGGCCCTGGCCCTGGGGAGCTCACTTAACATAGACACCTGGGAGATGGTTCTAACTAGGCTGGGATTTGAAAAATGGGAAGTCATTATTTCAAACTAGAGAGTTTGAAGTATTCAAAGAAGTACTTAGTGGTTTCTTCCCCAGCTACGGGCAGCCATGCCCCTGAGGAGGGTGAGGCGGGGACCATGAGGACTGGTGATGTTTGATGAAGAAGGGCTTCGAGGCCCTGGGAGCCCTTCTCCTCCAGCAGCCCCTGGGAGTCTGCGTGACGGAGCAGGAGGAGGCCCGGACCTGGCACACACCAGTCCAGAGAGCGGGTGGATAAGGGAAAGAGGAAGCCCTGAGCTAGGCCAGCTGTCGCCCCGAGCAGGGTCCAGAACCCGTGAAGCCAGGGAACAGGGTGCTGGAGGCTGGGGGACCCTGTGTGTGGCTTCGTAGCGAAGTCTCTTGGCAGTGGGTGGAAGTCAGTCACACACAGACTTTGTGAGTCCTGGAAGGAAAGTGGGGTCCCTGGGGGGTGTACCTTCCTCCTCAGTGTCGGATACCACCTCTGCTAAATAAGTGGGACCGTACCTGTCCCTGGAAATCAGCTCCAGTGGAGAGACCATCTCCTGGGGGGCTCTGACACTACAATAATGATTTCACAGGGACTCGCAATTTACCCTCAATGGGAACCTGAGCCAGGGCTGATCCAAAGACAAGGTCACTCTTGTGTTTATAGAGGAAAGCTTCCCGAAAAGCCGCCCAGAACGGCTTCAATACCCCTTCCCAAGGGAGTGGAACCCAGCCAAGCACAGAGACTGCTTCTGTCCTCTGTGGGCCTTCCCAGCAGTGAGGAGGATAGAGCTGCAACCCCATAGTTGCTGTGTGTCTCCTGCTGCAGGAGCCCTGGACCACCTCCAAACACGGGGGTGCGGGGTGCAGGAGAGCCACCACAGGAGGCGGCTGGGTGTGAAACCCTGGATCTGAGCCTCAGGAGGGGATCTGGCCTTCAGCTGCAGGGCCCTGTGTGCAAGGATGGGAGCCTGCGCAGTCCAGGAAGGGATCCTGTGGCTTCCAGCACTGAACACAGTCGAGGGCCTTGGTTTGGAAGAATAGGGGCATTGGGGGGAAACAAGAGCAAGAAAAGACAAGACAGGCTCAGTGGCCTGGGCTGTGTGGCTGTTGGGCTCCCAGTTCTTCAGGATTCTAATCATCTGACTTTGGTGGAAACAGGGAGACTCAGCACACACCTGGGAATAAACCCCACACATGTGGCTGGTGGACACTGTGGGCTGGGGGTGTGCCGAGAGGTCGTGTGTCTGCGTGTGCATTGACACACATGCATGAATTTGTGAGCAAAAGGGTCTTTATGTTGGAGAGAATGTGTGTGTGTGTGTGTGTAGTGTGTATGTGTGAGTCTGCGTGTGTGTGTGTCTGCACACGTGCTCTGTGTCTGGAAGGAGGTGCGTGTGTGAGCGTGTGCATAGGCAGGCTCACGGGGCCTGGGCATGGAGAGTGGGGCAGAAGCAAGTAGAGAACTATGACCAGGCGACCGAGCAGAGGACTGCGGTCACAACTGGACACTAGAGCAGAGTCTTCTCAGGTCAGGGAGCCCAATGCCAAAATAAAAGTGTCTCCGTTTACTTTGCTACGATGTTGCCGGCAGCCAGCGTGTGACAGCAGGGCCGTCGAATGGGCAGCTGGGTCCCTTCCCTCCTGCGGAAGTGAGAGGAGGACCGTCCTTCAGGCTGCTGCCTTCACAGCTGGGCCTGCCCTTCTGAGGTGAGACGCTGGGCTCAGACCTCCCCGTGTCCCCCCAGGTAAGGGCAGAGGAGGGCCTGCTGCAGGCTGTGGACAGCCACGGGGAGTCCAGACTGCCTGCAAGTGGCCAGTCCTTGCTCCTCTGTCAGAGTAAAGGTGTGCGTGTGCGTGTGCGTGTGTGTGTGTGTGTGTGTGCGCGTGGGGGAGGGAGGGCTGAGACGTGCACATGGGAGAACATTCTACTCAGGCCAAGGGATAAAGAAATGGCAGCCTCTCCTTTTTTTCATGTTATTAAAAATCCTTTTCTGACACCACTCCCAGCTTCATGCCTTGGGCAGGAGGTCTAGGGCAGGGCTACCTTTGTGTAACTATGAGAAGGTCAGTGTGCCAGCTATCTATTGCCACAGATGCCACGCAGGTGCTATCCCCAAGCTCTGAGGTTTGTTTTTATCATCGATCATTTATTCCCTTTATTTATTTAGGGTACAGGGTTGAACTCGGGGACATTCGACCACTGAGTCACATCTCCAGCCCTATTTTGTATCTTATTTAGAGACAGGGTCTCACTGAGTTGCTTGGCACCTTGCTTTTGCTGAGGCTGGCTTTGAACTCACGATCCTCCTGCCTCAGCCTCCTGAGCCCCTGGGATTACAGGTGTGCACCACTCACCTGGCTCATTTATTTACTTAAATTATTTTATTTATTTTCAACGACTGGGCCTGATACCATCAATTGAGCCCTTGCCAGGGATTGGGATCTCTCTGGAGACAGATACTGGCTTCAGAGATGGAGGCAGCTGAGTGACAAGGAGCTGGGTGGACTCTAGGAGCCGAGAGGCCCCCCGCTCACAGTGGCCTGCAGCCACAAGGAGCTGAGCCCTGCCAAGTCCTGGAGGAGCGGAGCTCTTCCCCAGGAACCACAGCGACGCAGCCCGCAGATGCCTGCTCCTGTCTTCCAAGACCCAGGGCAGAGACAGCCCAGCTGAGCCTGCTGGGCCTTGTGATGCCAAAGCTGTGAGCTCTGTGTTAAGCCACCTAATTGGTGGTGACCTGTCACACAGCAACAGGAAACTCCTACACGCTGGCTACCTTCTTCACAGGAGAAAGGCGAAAAAATTCAGAGGGAACAAACACAAACTACTCTGTCAATCAAACTGCCGCACCTGGTATCGCTTCCTGGTCTCCTACATTGGATATGAATGGCCCAAATGCTCGTCTTTTAATCAGCATTGAGGTTTACAATTTTATTTGGAAAACGCCACTTTGGCGTTATTTTAATATACTGCTTCTGGTGAGAAATGCTCTTTCTCATAGGATCTTAGCCCAGTGATTGACAGGAGCACGCTCTCTTACCTCCTGGCTCTTTGGACTTTTTTTATTTGACTTGCAAGTAATTTGTTTCTGCAGAAGGCCCCACACATTGGGTGCTGTTATCATCTGCTGAGTGAATGACAGAGTTAACAAATGAATAAACAAGAATCTTCAGCCGCCTGCTCACTGGACATCAAGGGTGTTGGTAATAGGACAGCACTGCGGAGTGCCCAGGGCAAGGCCAGCTCAGTGGGGCAAGGCCAGCTCAGTTGAGCAGAGGCTGCCTGACGTGCAAATGTCCTGGGACACCTCGGTTGGGAAGCAGAGGGTCAAGCAGAGGCCAGGCGAGGAGGCAGGAGCAGAGCAGATGTGATGGGAGGGAGGACCAGAAATCTCTGTGAATAGATGTTGATGGTCATTCAGGGGGTGAGTGACTGAGGATGGGGACATGGAGGCTGCATCAGTCCACTACTTAAGGTCATCAGAGACATAAGTTAGGTCTGGATTTGGTTTGTTGGAAACATACTTTTACCTTTTTAAAAAAGTTTACTTGCTTAGAGATAATTACTTAAACATTAGGGCTGGGGCTGGGGCTCAGTGGCAGAATGCTTGCCTTACACGTTAGAGGCACTGGGTTTGATTCTTAGCACCACATAAAAATAAATAAAGGTTTTTTTTAAAAAAATTAATATAATTACTATTCAGAATATTTCCAAGAGTTTAGAAATATATAAAAAGGGGAAAAGAAACTTTTTAAGGCCTCCGTCTCTCTGCCCTCATGGTGAACTTGAATTTACACACATAATATTAAAAGGAAAAAAGGATCGAACTAAACCCACTGTCTACCATGTATTTTATTGTCCCTCAACAGAATCTCTTGGGTATATTTTCCCAGATGTAAAATTCAAATCAGGAAACTGGGGTCTGTAGATCGCGGGGGGGGCATGGATAAATGTCAGGGTGCACCTGGGTCCTGGAATTTTGGTGCCTTCTCGAAGGCTTGGGCGTGCAGAGGTGTCAGAACACTCCACTCCGTCCCCCAAAGACGAGAAAGTAAACAGCCTCCGTCCCATCCGGCCTGTCTCGGCCTGGACGCCAACTGTGATTTGCCCCAGCCTCGGTGTTACGCGGAGAGATTAAGAGAACTTGCTTAGTCAAACCATAGATAAAAATGCAGCGTGTTTTGTCCGTTTCTTATCGGCTTTTCTGTCTGTCTGGGCAGGGATGCCAGGGCCTCCCGGGAGACAGATGTCCTGCTCTGGCCTCGGCCTGTCCTTTGGTAGCCGGGTTGCTTCTGCTCAGGGTGGGCCCCCTAGGCAGGAAGGGCTCACCAATGAAGCTCAGGGCTCATGAGCCAAAGACCTGAGCACCCTGCTGTGGGTCAACGTGGAGCAGCCGTCTGGCCCACGGAGATGGGCCCAGGAGTCATTGGAGGAAATGTCTGCAAGGGGGGGCCGGGAGGGGTTGGGGGGCAGGGAGGGTCTGGGGATTTGAGGCCAGTCTGGCCCCTGTGGAAGAAGAGGGGTCGGGCAGGGGAGTAGAGAGCCTGGGGTCCTGGCTGGTGGCAGGGGCGGTGCCCAGTGAACGGTGACCACTAGAAGAGCCTTGCATTGGGCAGGAAGTTCCAGCCCTGGTTTCTGTGAAGAAGCACTTCACCATTTAGAAATCACACCCCAAACCCCATTAATAATAGCACCCACAAGACAAAATAGCTAAGAATATCCTTCACAACAAAGATGAGGGGCCAGATAGCTAATACAACTAACAGTGAAGCCAATAGATATTTTTATATAGCTGCTACATATTAGAATGGAAAGTCCTGTGTTTTAAAGTGAGTCACTTGGGCTGGGGATCTAGCTCAGTTGGTACAGTGCTTGGCTTGCATGCCCAGGCCTGGGTCCCAATCCCCAGCACCACACACACACACACACACACACACACACACACAACTAAAGTGAGTCACTTTCCTAAACGATTCTGGAAGAGGGAGCAGGTGGGAATACCATAGGAAACATCACAAACGAGGAGAAATGAAGGAGCCCTTGCTCCACCAGGTTTTAGAGCTTGTGGGAGCTCTAGAGCAAGTGGTCCTGGATGTCACGGGCACCCGAGGAAGCAGGAGAGTGGGAACAGGGGAGTGTGCAGTCAACACTGAGCGATTCCAAGAGAGACCACCCACTCAAGGGGAAGGAGAAATTTCTCCAAGACGACTCCCGATGGACAGGACGTCAGGAGATGGCCACCTCTAACTTTACCACACACCAAAGTGAACTGCACATTGATCAGAGCTCTGTTAGTTCAAAAAATAAGGGAAGAGCCCCTTGACCTCTGGATGGAGTGAGGACTGAGAACTGCTTCAGCTTAAAACCAGTGGGAGGCATTGAAAGGGGACAAGGAGGGGAGGTTCAGGGGCTCAGAAAAGGGTCTCATCAACAAAAAACAAGCAAATGAATGAAAGGAAAATTACAACCAAGAAACAAACTTTTACCCTAATAAACAAGATTGAGAAAGAATTTAAAATAGACCAGAACTTAAATCATACTACAGTAACCAAGACAGCAAGACACTGGCACCAAAATAGGCAGGAAGACCAAGGGTTGAAAGGATGAATGGGGGGAAGACGAGAATCTAGACTGGGACACTGGAAGGTGCGGTGTTCCCAGACATAGGAGGTGACGGTGGCAGAAGACTTAGAAAGGCCACAGTCCAACAATAATCCCTCCAGACAACATGGCCTGGTCCGTGGATCCACCCAACGTCGCCTCCGAGGCGTCTCCAAATGTTGCTGCACGTCAGTGGTTTTGTCTAGGATTCTACAGACCATCAAAGTATCTTTAAGAACCACTTAATGATTTTTCTTATAAATGTGATAATCCTCATTATGTGGATGTGAACTTCTTGCCAGGATCACACCAAGGTATTTTCTCTGTTGTTCTTATAACTTAATTTTAGCTTTTGGCTTTTTTCTAAATATAAAATGTTACATTTCTATGTTTCAAACAGGATAATGTATTCTTTAAGAGTTCTGCAAAAACTGAGTCTTGGAATCAGTGCCAGCTTCCCAGGTGGGTTGTGAGACCACTTCTCTGCACGATGCTGCTGTAACTCTCTGCTATTTCTTACCACCACAATTATTTTTTTTTGGGGGGGGATGGTGCCAGGAATTGAATTCAGGGCCCTCAACCACAGAGCCACATCGCCAGCCCTATTTTGTGTTTTATTTAGAGACAGGGTCTCACTGAGTTGTTTACCGCCTCGCTGGATTGCTGAGGCTGGCTTTGAACTCGCGATCCTCCATCCTCAGCCTCCCGAGCCTCTGGGATCACAGGAGTGGCCACCTCACCAAGCTAAAATCATAGATGAAGCTACGATTATCTCAGAATAAAAGGCTGTAAGAGAAAGTCCGCAATATTTAATTCCTTACTTAGCATCGTGTAGCACAGTGTGGAAAGGGAATCTTGAATTTCCAGAGACCCCGGGAACGTCCTGTCTGTGTCCCTCAGCAGGACAGGCGATGGTCATGGTCCCCATGCTGCTGGGCTGCAGCTTCAGGTTCCTCAGTTCATTTCAAAGTAAAAGCACCTCGAGCTCAAGGCTCCAGGTCACAGGACTATAGCTGGGGTTATTCTGTGGTCCTCTCTGTAGGGTTGCCATCACTCAGAGGTCTGAGCAATGGCCCATTCGGAGGGCTCTGTGTCCTCACCTGTCCATGGCTCTGTCCAGACCACGGGAAAACTCCTGTTGACTGGGCGTGGTCCCCTGATTGCTGTCCACAGCTGTAGGTACTCCTGGCTGTGTGGACAGTGTGGACAGCTGCCGGGGCCCTTGTGGCCTGGGTGGGACCATCAGGGAAGGGAGGGGAATGAATGGGCAGAGGAGTTTCACTTGTGCCCTCTTCTCCCTCACCCTCCTGTCATTGATTCTGCAGGGTGTCCCCTGTCTCAAGGATCCTGGGGCATGCACCTGTGGTCTCCTTGGCCCCAGCCTTCCTTCATCCCCAGACTCTACCCAAGCTTGCTGCAGGTGGTTAGACACTCAGCAGCTGAGCCCCAGAGGTGCCCGCACATTAGCTGCATGAGTCTGGTTTCCTGGGCCTTGATGGTGTGTTTCCTATCTCTGTGCAGCCACGTCCTTCTTTAGAACTACGGCGCGGCCCCTCAGCTGGCCTCCCTGAGTCCCTTTGGCTCTTTTCCAGTACATTCTCCATGGTCAGCCAGAGCGATTTCTCTCAGGAACAGCTGATCACATCATCCTCTTGCGCAGTGCTGTTCGCGGATCCGGGTACTTCAGGATAAACCTCAGTACGTCCCACATGACCCCCTAACCTGGCTGTGCGTGCCTGCTGGCTGGTGGCCCTCCCTCCGGCTGTGTGCGAGAGGCACCTGGACACCGGGGAGCTCAGCTGCACTCAGGGGCCCCGTGGAGCAGCCACCAGCGCCTAGGAGCCCAGGGGTATAGTGGAGTTGGGGTCCTTGCCAGCATCCTGGGTTGTGGGAGTGCCCTGGCTTCCAGCTCCGCCGCCCGCCAAGGCGTCTGGGTGTGCTCTCTGCAGAACGGCACCACGGCCGGCTTTGGGGTGGACCTCCTGTGCTCACGCCTTTACCTTCTGACCCACCCAACCTGTCGTGACTTAGCAAGAACAAATGTGGCCAGCACAAGGTCCCAGGCAGACTCCTGGGGACTCTCGAGCCTCCCCACTCCTCCGCGCCCTCCCGCTCCTCTCTGCCTGCGCGTGGGCAGTGCCCACCTGCAGCAGGTGCAGCAGGAAGCAGCAGGAAGTTGAAGCCGATCATTAAGCTTTTCTGGAGAGAGCTTCCTGGGAAGGTGGGAGGGGACACTGGGCAGAGCTGAGGACACACGGGAGAAGGCCAGAGCTGGGGTCCCACGTCCTGAGGAGGAGCCCAGGTGGGAGTCTGGGACCTCGGGACACCCTGCAGAGCCCACTGTAGGGGAGTCAGAACAGGCTTGAGAGACTCTAAAACCAGGTGGAGAGTGCAGCTCAGCACGTCCAGAGCACCGAGCGTGGAACTCAGCCAAGCCAGCCCCTCCCTTTACAACAGAGAGAACTGAGGTTCAGGGAGCAGCTGAGAACCCCCCTTCCCCCATCAGGGAGAAGCACCCGGCCAGGACGGGGACCCACGGAAGCACTCGTACCGCGTGCCTGGAGCAGGCCACATGCGAGAGGGTGCGTTTGTGGCTGCTGTGGCCTGCTTGCTCCCTAGACCCTGCCTCCAGGAGTGTGCAGTGCACCTACTGCACCACTGTACAGCCAGCACCGAGGCAGAGTTGGGGAGACCCAAGAGGTCCCTCAGACAGTGTGGCCCCCTCTCTTAGCTCCCAGTATGTGGTGGAATGAAGGCAGGAGCGGTATCTGGAGCAAGGCCGCGGATGTTAGGTCCACCTTTGGACACTGGAATGTAGAAACTGGCATTTGAAAAGGTAGGTAAGGCCTGACTCTGCCCTAGAGGAAACCGGGTCTGGGTGTGAAGAGGCAGAGAGGGGCAAGACGAGGACCTGTGCTGGGCTGAGGGTTTCTGGGTGTCTGGTCAGGAGGAAGGAGGCCCTGTAACCTCCATGTCTGCAGGTCAAGGCTCACTGAGCCTTCAGCCCAGGCCCAGGGAACCAGTGTCCTCCCTCGCTGGCTGCAGGCCACACAGAGCATGAGTCGGGACAGAGTCCAGCAGGCCTTTGCCACACCCAGGCCCGCGCACTTCCCAAGGGAATCAAGGACAGAGGGGACCCTGAACCTCAGTCCTGGCCAGCCCAGCCGTGCTGCACCACAGTGCCCTCTTCTGGCCATCCAGGGAAGGTCGTCTCAGGCCCTGTGGCCAGAGGTGGGAGCACCCCAGGCTCTGGGTGGGCCCCGGGGAGGGAGCAGGTAGGTATGAGCAGCACAGGACCCAGGCCATGGGCTGGAGCTGACCTGGGTAGGCAGGGGGAGCGGGAGCTTCCAGCAGGTGGTCCTGACTGTGGCGGCAGCTCTGCAGTCAGTCTGCAGGAGGTGCTCTGCAGGGAAGGGGCGGAGGCCGGCCTCCACGGGGCGCCTCAGGAGCGGCTCTGCGCTGTCCTGGCCAGGGCCCTCTTTTTCTGACAAGGAATCCTTTGATGTCCAATGGCTACTTCCCCACAGGTCCGAGCAGCCCGCCTGGGCCCAGGGTTCAGTCCTCTGCGCTTCCAGAAGCGGATTTCACAGGGATTAACTTCAGACGCGGCTCTGGTGCTTCTCTTTACTCCGGTAGCCCTGGCCTTGCGGGGAATGTGGAGGAGGTAGAGAAACACAGGGGCAAAGCCAGAAATTATTCTCAAGCCACCCTCCCAGCAAAATCCCATCAGCGCTGGGGTGCGGCTCCTCCCCAAGCTCAGGCCTAGCTTGGGTGCCACTTTGCCCACAGTGTTCTCTTTTGCTGCTTAATGCGACATTACAGGAGTGTTATGAAATGTTTTATGAACACTCCCTGTGTGTGTGTGTGTGTGTGTGTGGTGCTGGGGAGGGTCCCAGGGCACTGTGCAGGCCAGGCAAGTGCTCCACCACTGAGCCACACCTGAGTGGCTGTACACAGTCCATCCTGTGGCTGGCCTGTCACAGTTATGGTCTTTGCTGGACATTTGGAGGTTTCTCAGCTCACTGTTGCATGCTTGATGGTCTGGATCTGGAAGGTCTCTCGAGGGTCTGCAGGATCCGCAGAGCAGTAACGTCCCTCAGTGCAGCTTTGAGGAGATGGCTGGCTCTCGAGGTCTCTGACCTCATGGGTGGGTGCATCCATTTGGTTAATTAATGATTTGAATGGATTATTGGGAGGCGGAGCCTGGTTAGAGGAAGCAAGTCCCTGGAGGTGTGCCCACGGAGGCCCACCTGGCCTGGGCACTGCCTCCTCCCTCCCTGCCCCTCTCTCTCAGCTGCTGTGAGCCAGCTGCATCCTCCACACCACACCTCCCACCACGAGGTTCCACCTCACCTCAGGCCCGCAGCAAAGGAGCCAGGAGACCATGGACTGACCCCCTGAAATCACGAGCCAAAATGACCTTTTTGTCCTCTAAGTTGTTCTCGTCAGCTGCTGTGGTCACAGTGATGCGAAGCTGACAACATGACGCTCTTGGAAAGAGCCAGTGAGTGGATCTTGGTCTCTGGGATGGAGTCCCGGGAGGGCCATCTGAGGTGGAAGGAGCCACAGTCCCAAGGTCCTGCCGGGTGGACGGGCAGCCGCAGCTTCACCTCCGCAGGTGTGAATGTGCCAGTTCTCCTGCTGGACCTCCAACCGCTAGTGGGTGGGCACAGACCTTTTTTGGCATTTGTTTGGCTGCCGAGGCAGTTGGACATCGCCCGCAGGTTTGGCTGAAGACTCAAAGGGCCACGAGCGGCTCTTTCCTCTGCCCACAGAAGAGCGATTCCAGAAATAAGACCAGAGAGGGGGAAACTGGGCCAAAGATCCCTTTGATTCTTTATAAAGATGAAGGGGGAGGATGCAGCCTCCGGGAGAGCCAGATGGGGCTGTGAGTGAATCAGGGATTCAGCCGCACCCCCCTCCCAGTCCCAGCAGAGCTCCTTGGACTGACAGCCAGATGGCCTGCCGGGAGGACTTTTCTGGAGGTGGACATTGCCTGGACTTAGCATGGAAAGCTGGGGGTGGGGGGGTGTCGGAGGTGTCACTCTATAGCCATCGTCTGGTCCCCTAAAGGAAAAAGGGGGCCTGAGCTGAGGATCTGGTTATTTTCTGAAATGCCCCAGTCGGAGGACAAGGTGCCTCCCTGCTGCCTTCGCCAGTCGCCTGTGTTTCCTCCTATTAATGTTAAATTCTTTCTATGGGGATTGACCAGCAACAGTGATTCATTAAAGGTCTCTTTAAAAATCATCTTTGCCTTTTCCTCTTGTTTACCATGTTCTTGAATTTTGGAAGTTTCGATGGGAACTTAGCCAAGTTTACCATTTTTATGCCGTTTCCATCCTGAGAATCAGCACTATGACATCGTCTCCAGGTGTTTGAGTGAGTGGCTCGTGCCCCACGCTCTGGGGACACCTGCATGTGCACTGTCATGAGGTCCTCCCAGCATCCCTGTGTGGAAGCCACCGGTGTCCACCCCTGACGGCAGGGGCAGGGGGGCAGGGGGGTCTCCAAATGCCACCCTGACAGCCGTGACACCTGGAGTCAGGAGCAGTGTCCCAGCCTCCCATTTCATAGCCCAGCGTTTGGGAAATGGAGACACTCACTTATTCGGGCTCCTGATTACTCTTCCAGGAAGGGAGCATGTTACTGCTGATAATGTTTTTTTGCAGGGAAGACACAGACTCCAATTTAGGAATGATAAAAAGCTACAGGAGAGACCGTGACTCATTTTAGTGCTCTGTTTTGAGAGACATCAAAGGCCACCTCAGATTTATCTGTCTGCCTCGAGACACAGCTGTTCCCAGAAAACATTCTCGTGCTTGTCCAGCGGGTGTCCCTCCCCACCTTCATGACAGTGGTCAGTTATGGAAGTCGATTGTATTCGTGAAGTAGCTCAGAAACTACCGTCATGCCCAGAAACCCAGCTGCTGGCCAGCTGCCCTTCCTCCCTATCCACCTTTGACAACAGTAATACTTAGATAACAGTCTTCGATGCACAGTGAACAACCCAGATAACACTGCTTAAGTAACGAACACTTCAAGGACAACAAGTGCCACCTCTCACGGAGCACTGGCCATGGGCCAGGAACACAGCGTGACTCCTTCAACCCTCAACACTACTGACGTGTTTCCTGGTTCACAGGTGGGGAAACCAAGGCACGGGGAAGCTCATAAGGCACCTAAGGACCCACGGTGAGCGCTCGCCAGGGCTGGAAGTCCGGCCCAATGGCCAGCCCCAGGGCCTGGCTCTTACCTGCAGGCGACAGGGAAACCCCGTGAGGGCTCTTTGCGTAAATGAGCACGTGTGAGGGAGGGACCTCGAGCGCAGATGGTCTCCTTCTCTGTTTTCTTCTTTCCTTTATGGAAAAATGACTTGCTCTCCCCCACGATGCGTTGGACGTCTTCCAGGTACAAACGCACACGATTCAGGGCATCTCTATTGACTGGTCACTTGGCTGGTGTTTTCGTGGGCTCATTTCCTTCCAGTTCACAGAAGCACTTTTCATCTGTGGCCTTTTCCAGCAGTTTCTAGCCGTCCAAGCTCAGTTGTTGGTGGCGCCATCTTCTGTCCATTTTGCTTCTCTTCGGTCACCAGAGGGCGTTCCGATGGCTTCTCCCAGCTCGGCCAGGTCGGTCCAGACCTTTGCCAACTTGTGCATCACTTTTGACAGTGAGAGCCACTGAGACGGGGGCTGCGGTCCCTGAGCCACGACCTGACATAAGCTTGTCTACCGCGTGCGTCAGAACCAGAAATGGGCTGCTGCTGTAACGAGAGCCTTAGCAGACCTGGTGTTGGCATTGGGGCTGGCGTGGGCATCAGGGTGACAGATGCCAGCGACTATCCTGATGGCTTGAGGATCCAGAAACCAGGGACAGTGAGTTTGGAGCTGCTGGGGAAACATGGAACACAGACCCCAAGAAGCACGAGTTTGGTTGTTATTACCTACACTTCGGTGATTTCCAAACAGAAAACGAAGGGATTGGAGCAACCCCAAAGTTCAAGGCCTTGCTGGTTGGATCAACCCACACTTCTTCACCAGAAGCTCAAGAATCGGTCAGGAGGGCCTTGGAGTGACCAACCCCAGCAAATCCTCCTGGGGGGGAAGCGCCTCATAAACCCATGAAGTCTCAGAGGAAAGAGCCTCGGAGTGGAGGGTCCCAGGGACACTAATGCACTAGGTAGAGAAGGATGGGGATGAGTCGGCAAGAAGGAGACCACCAGGAAGAGCGTTGGCACAGTGGGGACCCTGCCCCGGACACTTGGGACCCAGAAACCAGGGACAGACGCGCCTCCCATTGTCCCCTTTCAGGTGGGCACTGTTTGCTGCCGTCTGTCCCTGTCCTGCTGTCGGCTTTGGGTGTCGTGGTCCCTTGGTCTTCCAGTACTCAGATGCCTCAGGAGGCAGCTTTCTCTCTGCTGGCATCACTGAGCCGAGACGGGGTGCCATGGACCCCAGCAGAGCTTGCACCAGGCAGAGAGCACGTCCCGGCAGAGCAAAGCCAAGCAGGTTCCAGAAACCAGAGGAGACCGTCCTGCCCAGGCTGCCGGGCCACCCCAGGTCTGGGTGCTTCACTTTGCACTCGGGGTGGCTCCCACGACTTGAGCTCATGCTCCCTGCTTGCTTCAGCCTTCCCTGGCCTGTGTTTGCACCATGCACAACCGAGAGTCCTGATAGACACAGGGGAAGCCGGAATTCTCTGACTCATCGTCCTGAGCTTGTTCTTTGTGGGAAATTGAGCAGCTTCCACTTGAAAAGCATGCTGGGAGAAGCCTGTCTGCTCAATGAGGGTTCATAGAAAAGCACCCCAATACCATCAACCACTGTACCATCTCTCACAGCCTCTTAGAATCAGGACCTGGAAGGACCAGCAGGTGGCTCTGGTTCTGGTGGGTGGGTGTGGGTGGGGACGGGGCTGGACAGTGTGGCGAGCCGGGCCATCCTCTCCATGCAGTCTTCGTGACACCTCTGCAGAGGGGCTGGCTTGGGCTTCCTCACAGCATGGCCGTCTCAGGGCAGCTATCGGCCTGGCAGGGTGGCTTTGGGCTGCCGAATGAGCACTCCAGCCGTGGGTGGGTGGAAGCTGCAGAACCCGGAGTCTCTTCTGACTCAACCTCCAAGGCAGGCGGCACCACTTGGACCACACTTTGTTGGCTGCGAGTGAATCCTTGTCTTCCCAGGTTCAAGGGGGAAGAAAATTAGATCCTGACTCTGGGAGGAGGAGTGGCTGGGTTCCCGCAGGCTATGTGTGCCCCACTTTGTATTGGAAACTCGATCCTCAAGTGTCCCTGCTGATGACAGTTGGTAGTAAAGTCTTTGGGAGGTAATTAGGTGAGGGAAAGAGGGTGGGACCCCAGGATGGCACTAGTGCTTTAGAGGACAAGGAAGAGAAACCCAGGCTGGCACACTTGCTCTGTCTTATTTTGTGATGCCTCCATATCAGGAGGCCTGGCTGGCACCACCCTCCCAGGCTTCCCAGTCTCCAGGACTGTGGGCCAAATAAACTTCTATTCTGCGTGAATCACCCAGGCTCAAGTGTTCTGTTACAGCCACAGCTGAGACAGTGTGTGAGGTGGGAGGGATGGTGTTGATAAACTCAGTCCTGCACTGAGGGGACGCTGGCGGGGAGGGAGGAGCACCACTCAGGCTCAGCAGGAAGGAGAAGGAGGGAGACAACGGGGAGCCGGAGAGTGCTGTCCAGCAAGGCCAGGTCCGGGTGAGGCGGGCGGGCTCACAGGCTCCAAATCCAAGATGGTGCTCCCCGTGTGGCTGAGCGCCCCCCGCCCCGTGCCAACCCCCACCTGGTGTCAGAGCTATAGGAAGAGGAAAGCTACAGACGATTAAGTGAGGGGGGGGCACGCCAGGGCCAGGAGGCCCCACAGGATGCAGCGTCCTTGGGCTCCTGGCCAGTGGCCTTGAGGGGCTCATGGTCAATCACCTTAGGCAGGATCCAGGGACAGTGTCCATGAGGGAGACTGTGACACTCAAAAGAAGCATCTTCCAGGTGCCTGAGACACAGAGGGTGTTAGCAGCCCCCAGAGCCATTTCTCAAGGTCAGCTCTGTGCCGAGGTTAGAAATCTTGAGTTAGCGAAGGGGAGCTGGAGAGGCCCTGCAGAGGCCGGAGCCTCAGGTGTGAGATGGCTGGGCGGGTCCGGGCCTCGCCGCTTTCTGGTACTGCCATGAACGGAGTCCACTCGGCAGACGGCTGGGCACTCGCAGGGGGACAGGCCCATTCTAGGCAGCTCAGGCAGCCCCTCCGAGCCCCTGGCTGTTCCCATTTTAATCACCATTTAAAAACTCAGGCCCTAAACCATCTCCCATGTCCCTAATGCTGGTGAGACCTAATGAACCAATGGTCATACCAAAGACAAAATGTGTCATGTGTGGAACCATCTAGTGTTTGGAGCAGATCTGTGTTACTGGATCCTTAAAACCACCTGGTAAGGGAGGGATGGGACTCCCGATGGCTGCAGCAGGTGACCTCTGAAGTCTCACCTGTTAGCTGAAGAACCTGAGAATGTGACTCCTGACTCCAGGTTGGGGGTTGGGTCAGCCAGTTTTTGTGTTGCTGTGACCAAAACACCCCACGAGAACTACTTAGAAGAAGAAAAGAATGTTTTGGCTCATGGTTTCGGAGGTTCAGTTCACGGCCCGTCGACACCATTGCTCTAGCCAGAGAGGAGGCAGGACATCAGGGTGGAAAGTGGCTCAGCTCAGGAGAGCCAGGAAGCAGAGAGAGAGCAAGATGCTGGGGGTGACCTACCTCCTCCAGCCACACCCCACCTGCCTACAGTTACAACCCGGGTAATCCATTAAAGTGGATTAATCCACTGACTAGGTTGCAGCTAGTCCTGTCACCTCTGACCTTTCTTGTGTTGTGTCCCACATGAGTCTGAGGGGACACCTCACATCTAGACCACAACAGCTCCCTAAGGGCTAAGGTGCTGGACAAGGACCAGGACCCTGCCTCTCCAGCTGATGGGTCAAGCACTGGATCACAAAAAGCGAAGCCTGGGGCCCCTCCCTCTGGGGCCCCCTCCTCTGTTATGATCCTCATGCCAACAGGGAAGTTTTGGAAACCAACTAGGATGAGCAAGGAAGGAGAAGGAACCACGGCCTTGGCCCAGCTCCCCCCACACCTCTGCCCCCTGCACCAATATGGTGGCTGCTCTGGGACGCCTCGCCTCCTGTCTGCAGCCTGGTGCTGCAGAGGGACAAGGGTGTGTCCCTCAGGCATACACGTCCTG